AGCACCCGCAAGGAAAGTGGCTTGGGTTGCACTAAGGTCTACAGGATTATCTTCATCAGGACTATTGCTTGGGTTTGGACCATGGGGACCCCTTTGCCTAAATCTATTTTGTTGAGATGCTTCCACACTAGTATCAGATGACTCATCAACACGCATGGCATCCCTAGTTGAAGGCAACTGGATTCTTCGTGGAACCAGGGAGGTAACAACCGCCGGGACCCTTGTTGCATTTGGATTAGAAGTTTCAGGACTACTCCTTGACCTACTGTTAGATGAACTAGGATCAGAAGGGGGAGAAATGCCTGACATCTTGACCCAAACTCGGCTGAACTTTTGCGCTCAACTGCAACGATGTGATCCAACGCGAGCTTTGCTCAGCGTCCCAAGCAAAAGTGTGCAGTGATGGGACAAAAGACCAATGCAGCACAATACTACCTCAACCAACAAAGTCTTCGCAAGTTGGATATTAAGATAATAAAGTGCAATTGAAATTAATTCAAGTTGTGTTGAAGTTCGGATGCAATACGGCTTCGCTAGCGGTAATGACCCTAGCTCTGACCGCAAAACAACACTGAACTAAAAACAAAAGGCAATTGGACAATAGACACTTGGCAAACGACAAGGACAGACCGACGAACGTAGCGAGCAAGCTCAGCTACCTCGGCGTTGAAGGCCTATCGGATGCTGTAGAACCGCTGGACTTGTGCCAGGGTCTACCAAAGTGATTTATCGTCCTGGCCCCCAAAATTGGGGTAAAACTGATTGGTCCTAAGAGGGACTGGGCGGCGATTTTCCAGGATCTGGGCGACCCCTTCAAGACGTAGCCAGTCCTCTACCTCCGCAATCCAGCAGAGTTCCCTGTCTGAACGCCCCTCTGAGCGGATGGTTTTGATGCCGAGTTGCCTGCACTCGTTCAGGATGTCAGAACGGTCGTCGATGAGACAATGTGCCTGAAGAGCGGAGATGATCGAGGATTTGCCCTGCCTACCGCAAGGATAGCGTGCCAGGTGCACTTCTCGAAACGGCAATCCTTCCGCAATGAGCTGGCTAATCACGTGCTCAGCACCGGCCTTGGTGCTTTCGATCTTGGATTGGCCGGCGTATGAGACAATGTGGAACTCAATTTGATTACCAGCAATCCTAGTCAATGACCGAAGCTTATCAACTAAGTGGGAAGACAATTCACCTACGGGGTTGAGAGCCTGGTCAATGGTATCGTGCCAGTCGATACAAACAACTACGTTGGATGTATTAACGTGGACTACCTTAGAGACTAAGTTGGGTTGGTGCTGGTAATGTCGCGGCACAGAGCCAGCGACCCCCTCAGGCCGATCTGGTGTTGGGTCAGGCAAAGGCCGCCCACGGACGTGGGGTGCAAGGCCAGAACCTGAGCTTTGCTCTTGCGTCTGCTGCTGTCCTTCGGGATCAAGTGGAGGAAGATCTCGGGACGGTTGACCAGCAGGTCTTGGCCCCCCAATTCCTGGCGGAGGAGGTTTTACAGGCTTAAGACTAGCTGGATTAGGGGGAACAGGCCTATTAGGTCTTGGGGGAATTACCACAGGTGCCGCGGGTGCAGCAGGTGCCACAGGTGCAATGGGTGTCGCAGGCCCAATGTTCACAGGTGGATGTTTCCAAGGCAGATTCTTCTTTTTCTCTGGAGCTGGTGGCAACGGTTCTGGCCTTTGGGGCGTGTCGGGGACAGCAGCCCCCTTTGCACGGATTGGCACAGGAACGGAACTAGCTCTTTTGCGAGACTTAGATGAAATCTTATTGGAAATTGGTACTTCCCTTCCCCTTGGTCTAGCAGCAACTGCGGGCGCAGTTTCGGCTGAGGGTGCTCTTGACCTGGATCGTGCAACGGGAGAGCCGGCTGGCTCTGATACGGTCTCTGTCGCGACACGGGCTGTGTCAGCGACCCCAGTTCCAGCACTTTGCAAAGACTGCCTCCAGGGATAAGCTGAACTACTAGAACCGCTTAATGGGGGAACAGTCAAAGATGGTACTGTTGGGGCTGCAGGTGGTGGTGCAGCAGAAACCGGATCTTTTCTGGGCTGTGCCGGCTTATCACGTTGGATTCGGGAGGTTCTTATGTTAGGACGCTGTCTCTTTGGTGGAGACTCAATTGAACGGGCAGGGGTGCGCTCAGCGAAGCCAGCGTCGAACGGTTCTTGCTGGCCGACAAATGCCTGACCTGAAGAAACAAACCTGGCGGTTCGAGTCTCAGCAGTTTCAGAGCCCTCAGATTCGGTACCGGGGTTATTGGTGTCAAGATTATAAACACTGTTGGGGTCTAGATTACTTGAACCAAGAACAGTCCGATGGGATCTAAGTGCAGGATCACGCCACAACGAGTCGGGAAGCTCGTGTGGGTTGACCCCAAGCTCTGGTGCCACGGCGTGAGGCACAATGAACAGCAAAGTCTGCGGCGCGTACGCGATCGGAGGATCAGCGACCCTAGCCCAGGTGCCAGCGGAGTCAATTCTAATTTCGGGGTAACCGTGCACTTGAAGTCTTAAAGCAAGAGGTCTCCTAGAAACACCGGTTATGGTTCGGGCTCTATAAAGTTCTTGATTAAGTTCAATGCGTTCACGGGTTTCCCTTGGGACTAGATTGACGGGCAATGGCGGATTGGACCTAGTTCTTTTAGGCCTACGACGGCGCGTGGAAACCTCACGGCCGTGCTCTGTTGGTGCAAAGTCAGGGAATTCGGGTTCAGCTTCGGCCTCAACCTCAACTTCAACCACTTCGTCCTCCTCCAAAGCTTCCTCTTCCTCTTCCTCCTCCACCCACTGCTCCTCTTCAGGCGGTGGATCGTTGGGACCCTCCGGAGCAGCCTCTTCTCGCGCCTCTGCTGGCCGGGGATCGCGGGCAGCGAGCTCCTGTGCAGTTGGCGGCGGATGAGATGGTGGTGGTGGTAAAGGTGGTTGTTTATGAAGGGTCGGACTAGGGGGAATGTTATTAGGTGGAGGTGGCAAACCTTGAATTCTATCTGCAAGGGTTGTGGCACTAGAATCAGGAGCTTTAGGCCTAGCTTTAGCTGGTGGCTCAGCAGGGCTAGCAGCTGGGACTGGTGCTACGTCGCGCCCAGAGGCAGCGACCCCTTGAGAATCTGGCTTTGGGGCTTGTGGGACCGGATGGACAGAGACAGTAACCCTTGGACGCGGTGGCACTGCTGGCTCAGGTGGCCTTCTCAACGAAGGTTGCCAGTTCGGCGGTGGATGCCCAGGCTCTTTGGGTCCTTGCTGGACCGGAGTAGGATCTGTGCCTCCACTTGCCGCGCCAGCAACGGGTGTTGCGGCAGCAGGCCTTACCACTTTTGGACGGGGTTGCTGCTGTGGGCCTACGTATCTATAATACCTATCCCACTCTTCTGGGCGCGGGTGCTCTGCCCCTAAGATGCGTTGATTGATGATCCTTTTTGGGGGTAGTTCACCAGAGTTTATCACTTGCTCAGCGTGTGATGTACCTCTACGCCTGTCCAAACCGTAGATGTGTGCCCACTCTTTGTATGGGATGAGGATTTGATAGGCCAAAGCTAAACACTGTGATGTTGGGAACTCCTCAACAAGTCTTGAATGAAGAGCTATCAACCAGCGAGTGCTTTCGTCGGCGTATTCGTAAGAAATCTTTCTTAACCAAAAGCCACCTACAATATCCCCTCCTGAGTTATGATAAAGCCAATTTTGGTATGCCTCGAAGTCGTTCCACCAAGCTCGCTTTGCTTCTTGCCACCTGGTTGTGGCACCGCCCCTGCTGGATCGAACCCTTGGTCGGTGGGCTGTTGATGAACTAGCGGGGGAATGTCCTACTTGGATAGGATCGGCACCTGGGTCAACAAGATTAGGGCTAGTTGGTGGTGGGACTATTTGATCGGGGCAACTAGTGTTGGCTTCTGTCGCGACACCGGATGTGTCAGCGACCGCAGGCTCAGGCACGGATGCAGATGGTTCGGATGCAACGGATGCTTCTCCTACTGGACCCGCCTCGTCACCTAAACCTAAAAGATCGGCTGTCTCAGCTTCTGGATCGGCTTGCTCAGCAAGAGGCAACGGCTCACCTGCAGGACGGTCTTGACCTTCTTCCTTCACACGATCTAAATCAGCAAAGGCAGTTTCAGCTGGGACTTCGTTGGGGTCAGCCTCAACCGGATCAAAAGCTTGGTCTGCAGGGTCCGTCGCGACTTCGTCAGCGACCTCTTCTGGCACTCCAATCACAGAAAGAACGGCACCCATGTTGTAGCCTCTTGGAACTCCTCCTGCTTCACCTCCAACAGATGTCCTTCGGCTCGATCTGTGTCAGCTACTGCAGATGTTCCCTCAAGAGACGGCTCGGGCGCAAAAATATCCTCAGATGCGTCTGCCCAGGAGACGACAGGTTCGGTCGCAACTTCCACAGATTGGGGAACAGGCTGCTCAACCCTCTCTGCGTCCGTCGCTCCCTCTCCTTCGTCCGCTGGTGCTTCGGTCGCGAGTAACTCAGCGACCTCCTCAGACGTATCTGTGGGCATGCAAGTGTGACAGCGAAAAGATGATACGATGTTAGGGCCTAAGCAAGTTCCAAAGAATTAGGTTCCCTAACACAAAGCCTTACGGCTGATAACCAGTCAAACAGGGGAAAGAACCGGAGACCCCAAAAGAAACGGGAACCCAATTCCCCAGACCCTGCATGAAACACAACCAAATGCTCCCTTTTGCACGGAGCACTTGAGCCATGCCGCGAGCAGCGGAAGTTTCACCCCGACCCGGTGGTTGTTGGGTTAGGGGAATCCCTACTATAAACATGGCTACTCTACCTACCTAACGCGTCTAAGTAGGTGGTGCTATTTCTGTACATATTGGGATGTATCTAACTGGAACTACGTTGGTACTCATAGCTACGGCATGCCTACATACGACCTACTACCTATGCTATACATAGTGGGGCTCAGGGGTCGGTATATTTCAACTTATATACTGTATATATGTATATATGTGTGTATTATGTAATCTTCGCCAAGTGGCCACCTTCAAAGCTTCCAAATCCCATGTCCCATCCACCATGTAGTCCTCCTGCGCACAGCAAGAAGAGTGAAGAAATGATCATTTATTCAATTTATCCAATATCCCCAAAAGCCTTGCCTGGAGGGCCTTTGGGGATAAGTTCCGCAGTTGTTGGAACAGGAGCTCCCCATTTTCTGCCTCAGTCACAAATTTCATACAAGTTCACTGAGTTCTTACGACAAAATGCAACAAATCTGGATGAAATTTCGTCCAAGAAAATGACTCTGTTACAGTCTGTTGCTTTGTGGAGCGTCTGATTTTCCAAAAAAACTGCACAATTCGAGCGGGCCTGGCCATTTACACCATTTGGATGTACGGCCTTGCAGGGCGCAGCAAGGGGAAATGATCCTTGTGGTGAACACAACAAGTGGTGAACAGGTGGTGAACAGATGGTGAACAGATGGTGAACAAGTGGTGAACAGGTGGTGAACAGGTGGTGAACAGATGGTGAACAGGTGGTGAACAGGTGGTGAACAGGTGTCAATGAAAGTGATTGTAGCAACTGTGTCAATGAAAAAGGTTTGTCACTGCCTCCAACTTCTCTCGCGCTCGTTCCTTCACAGCAGATTGGCGGCTGGGTCGAAATTTAAAAGCAGGCTTTATCAACAGTGCCAGAAAATTGCCAAGGCCTGCATAAGTTTAGTCTTCGGTGTACACAACCATATGGAGGACAAACATATCAACCACGAGCAGCTGGCAACAAGTTGAGTCACATGCAATTTCTTCAGCATGGCATGCTGCACATCTTTGCTCTCATCTCTTTGGTCTGCAAATGTTTGGTGGTCTCAAGTAGTGCAAGTGCAGGGCCCCTTCAACTCGAGCCCAGTGCCCCCTATCCACATCTATACAGAATGTACGAAATTTGGTATCATAGCCCCGTTAATGTGCTTAGCTTTGTCCAATATCTTTGCTTTGTCCAATCTCTTTTCCCTTGGTTTTCGCTGCCTTCCTTGTGTGCTGTGATTTCTCCTAGGGTGTCTTTCCTAGCATGGTGTTCATCATTTCCTATGGAGCTATTGTGCCTTCAACCATGATTTTATGGCTTCTTGCTTTTTTATATTCCTTTCAATGATTGATGTCCTTTCCCTTGCAATCAATGATCGATTGCATTTAGTTTTTACAGTAGAATGCCGATCTGACTCGCCAATGTGTGCCTCTGATCCATGTCATGTTTGTTGCCAAGTCATTGCAATCCGTGTTGGAAAATGTTAGTTTCAGCCGAACATTTGTGTGCCAGGGTCGAGGATTCAGTCCGGAGCCTGTCAAGCTGCTCACTCGAACTGCGACAGCAACTGGAGCTGGAACTTGTTCGCACTCTCAGTTGGAAGGTTTTGCTTTTTCAGTGGCAATGATCGATGGATATTCAAAAACTGTTGCTACTGGCGCTGCTTGGAGGAACCTGGCTCAAGCCCCTTCTCAAATTCATGCTAATTAGTCGTTTCAGAAGCCAAGTTCCGCGGCTGCTCACTCTGACATCAGCATGAAAGTATTTTCTATATAGCTGCGTTTCCCTCTTGAAGAGGTTCTGTGTTCTCACTTGCAACTTTAGACCTCTACTATGCCTTCGCTGAATCTGTGCTTGAGTTCATCAAATATGTCGAATCTGCAATGTAGCGCAGTGGTCAGAGTGATGCAAAGTGCTTCTTCAATGCTAGATGGTCAAGGCCTGGCTTTTTGACTGACGCGTATGTGTGTGTGTGTGCGATCTTGGCACCGCTCGTTTCGAACCACTCATCTAAGCCTGTTTAGTTTACTTTGTCACCTTGTTGCTTTCAAGCTCTAAGGATCGATAGCACATGGTACATCATGTTCGGTCAGGCACTAAGTCAGATTATCACCCCCCCCTCTCCATCTATCCCCACTCTCCTTTGCCAAGCGCAAATCATCTTGCAGCCCGTCCATGTCCCACGTGCCCGAAGCTTCATCGAAGTAATCCTCCTTGCAAGTAATGCATCATGTTTCCGCTGTTCTGAACAGAAAGCATTGGAAGCTGTTGAAACTCTGCAGACTTTGTGGTGTGCAGTTTCGTTCCCCAAGCACTGCATCGGCTCGAATGCCTTGTTCAAAGAGTCATCAAAAACTCGCAGCTCTGCAAGGAGCCCGGAGCCATCTTGAAAATTGCTGACCGAAGCCTGGAAATGCACGGACAAATTGCTCCCAACGCACTCAAAGTTCGGATGTTGCATGCGCATGTACAGCTTTCTGCACCCAAGCAGGTATGTACGAGTTCTGTGCACATACATCTATGCGCATATTGATCCAGCGGCCTGTCTATCCATCTACACACCATCCATCCGAGTATATATCCAAGTTCTTTCCTATCTATCGTTCTGTATCACTGTATCTTACTTATCCGCCTATCCAGCTATCTATCAATGTACCTATCAATCTGTCTATCTGCCTGTCTATCTGTCTATCTATCTATCTATCCATTCGTTAATCCATCAAATTGTTCCTTATGTATGTGTATATATATATATATATGCACTGTAACATATACTGTTTATCTTTCTTAGGCTGTATGTATATATGTATGTTCTAAACAAGTATGCACTGTTTGCATCTTTGCGTACATATATATATATATGTGGCAGGGACCTTTGGGGTCTATTTCGTTCCTCCTCGCACAAACGTAATCAAACGTCATTCTATATGCATATATACTATATACATAAGTAAATATGTCTACATGTGTGTACAAGTTCAACAGAAAGTCGCAATTTTTCCCTTGCCCCTCAACCTGCGCAGCGTCCGTTTTCTGCCCTAAGAGATGCTGTCAACAGCACGCGCGAACGCACGCCAATTTGAACTCTGGGCAGAAAAGTCCTCCAGTGTCAATTGTGTTGCTTTCCATCCCTGCAAGCTACAAAGTTTTGGAATGCGCATGCAAGTTTGGGACTCTTGTGCGCTCATGCATGGGAATGCTTTGGCTGTCAGGAGTTTGTAGTTGTTCAACTGGCTGCAATCTTAGTAATAAGCACAGTTTTATAGAAAAAAAAACCTTAAAGGAACCTCATGGGCATGTAACACAAGCAACAAAGCAATGCAAACATGTTCCACCACTTCCACCTGTAGTGATGAAGAGGGAGGGTGATGGCGGCCAACCCCCTTCATTTTGTCATACTCATCACTTCATTGTTTTTGGCCCCGCTGTCGTCCCCTCTCAGGATCCTTTGAATGAAGAAGAGTTGCAAAAGCAGACCTTGGACCTCTTGGTGAACTTTGCATACAGGCTGCAGATGGATGGCCTGATGCCTGACCTGCCAGAACAGCCACCAGGTGAGCCCAGTAGTGGATCTGGTTTTCTGCGAGAAGTGGAATGTTCTAAAGCCAAACACCCAGGTGCACCACTACTTGAAGCTTCTATGGCAATGGCACCTGGCCCAAGTCCAGGTATCTGCGCGTCTTCACCAGCCAGTGCAACTACGGTTTTGCCAGTTCAACCTGATGTTGGTTTGTTGGCACCTGCCACTCCTGAAGTACCCCCTCTGAGGCTTCAGCAGCATGCATCCCCAAAGAACTACCTGGTCCAGTTCCAGAAGCAATTGGGGGAGGTTGACCTGTACTCCTGACCAGGTGAAGAAGCTTCTTTATTGCACCAAACATAAAGGCTCTCAAGCTTCGACTGGGTCTTCGTCTACTCAAGATGTATCTGGCAGGAAATTCATACATTTTCTCAAGCATCATACGTTTCTATGGTTTTGCTTTCTGTGTGGGATTCAAGTTTCTTGATCTATGCATTTAGTATTTCATTCTCAGGTACCAGAGTTCGTGCCTCCTCGAGGAACTTCTAGTGGAGGTTGGTTCAGGAAAGTTTCTGGGCTAGTAGTTGCTTGGAAGCTTGGAGAAGTGCACAGGATGAGATGCCTACTATAACGATGGGAAGAGGTTTCACGGGTGAAGGCGTATGTGGCAGCTTTGGTGGGCTACGTCAAAAAGTGTGGATGGCAAAAGAACTTGGAGGGTGAGTATGGCTTGAACACTTGTACTCGCCTAAGATCTTACTGACTCCAGCAAAGCCTGGGTTGTTAAAAGAAACCTTTTATCAAACTATCAAACAGTAAGAATTTCAATTCTGTTTCTAAATTGAAAATCAAGCAGTCGCAATTTTCAATTCAAAAATGGAAATTGAAAATAAATCGAAATTGAAAATCCAACAGTCACCATTTCAATTCAGAAATTTAAATTGAAAATCATACAGTCGCCATTTAAACTCAGAAATCTAATAGAAAATCAAACATTCACCATTTCAATTCAGAAATCGAAATTGAAAATCAAACGCTCACCATTTCAAGTCAGAATTCTAAATTGAAAATCAAACAGTCTCCATTTCAATTCAGAAATCTAAATTGGAAAACAAACAGTTGGCATTTCAATTCAGAACCTTAACTTGAACCTACAATAGTATATTTTTTACTTTTCAGATTTTGATATTAATTTGGTTTACTATTTGGCACAACTAACATAAAATAATGTAGTTTTTACATAAGCAGCCTTTAGGGCTTTCATTTCTAAGCCAAAAAACACATTGATGCTTTCATTTTTTGAAGCTGTCACAAGTATAGCACATTGATGCTTCAGGTTTTGGTGTTCCATTAGTGCATCAGACATGTGTCCTTTGCATTTTTCTTGTCAAGGTGTAAGCTGTCAGGATGTCCAGTAATAGGGGTCAGGCACGGGGTTCAGCCACTGATCCAATGGTACCTCGACAGTTTCGAACCTGGACCTCATCCAATGGATGGAAGAGCCTCTGGTATGTCGAGATTCATCAATCAGGTTTTGATTCTTGGTTACCAGGTTGAAATTCATCATGTTTTTAAAGCATACGGGAACTCAGATAGTATGAGGATAGAAGTAAACAAATTGCTCGCTTGCTCAGCCTGAAGAACTTGATCAAAATCAGTTACATGTTGGCTGGAGTCCCTGTTCCTTCTGGCGATGCTATCTGCGCCTGATAGCTGCAGCTGTATGCCCATAGTGCATGGCAAGCCTGGATGAAAACATACTTGGGTGGAATCAAAATACTGTGGGGGGCGAAAAAATATTTTTTAAAAACACCATGTGGTGTACTTGTTTTTTTCTGGCCCAGTGGCCTTTCCTGCTATTTTGAAACTCTTGTGGTTTATGTCCAAGGGGCTTTCATGTAAAGGTCCAGGGTTGGGTATGAGAGCCCACTGAGGTTTATATGCTTCTAACCTTAAAGGGTCCCAGAACCCATTTCCACCGACTCTTGCTACAGGTTTTGCTGAAAGGGCTTTCATTTTATTTTGTAAACTAAATTGTTTCTGCCCAAAGGGGCTTTCATGTAAAGGCTTAAACTCTTTTATTCCATGCCCAAAGGAGCTGTCATAATTCTAACTTTGAAGGTTAGCAGAATCAATTCTCTTCTGCTTCTGCTGCAGTGGGCCCATAGGAATTGTGGGCTCACCTTAGCCTAGATCCTTTGATCACCATGGCCACTTGGGACGTTGAGGACTTAGTCAAGGAGATTAGTGATATGGAAGCGATTTACCAAAGGAACGCTGGTTCACAGCTGGTGCCACGAATGCAGGAAGCTTTGCAGTCCAAAGTGAACGGTGTCCAAATGCTCACTGCTTCTAACTTCTTGAAGCGTCCTGATGCTGTTCAAAATGGCATCTTGACTGCTGACACGAAGGCAGAGTTGCAAGCATTTCTCGCATCAAGGGCACCCTCTTCAATCCAAGGGGCCACCAGGTTGCAGGCTACACCTCAAAGCATGACCACGCCTTGGAACTACTTGTCCCAAAGCGAATGGCAGCAGATGCAGAATGGCATCAACACAGTTGATGCTACCCACATGCTGATCAAAAGAATCAAAGTGTGTGGGTTGAAAAGCCTCAAAGAAGACACCAAGAAGTACTTGACATCCTTTTTGGTCAGCCTTCAGGTGAAATCACCAATGTCTTGCCTCCAGTTTTTGAAATGTACAAATTTTGTGCTGGATACGTTCGAGGCTGTGGTGGCTCAACCTCTGCATGCTGGTTTGGCAAGGTACCCACCTAGCCCCCACGACATTGGGGAGGCACTGGGTTTGTAAAATCTTTGGTGATGGCTGCTTTCAAGCTGATAATTTTGAAGTCAAAATTTAGCCATGGCATAATCCCTGAACACACACACACACATGGACACGTATACGTATTTCCATTTGAACATAAACACTTGCAGGCTTTCTGCTTGCTCGCTATACCAGTCATATGATATATGAACCTTGGAAGCATTGCCAAGAAAGTCACGGTGAGCGGAACTGCCAAGGAACTCAGGGCTGTGGCCACTCCACAGGCAACCTCTCAGCAGTTGCCAGCAGAGCCTTCGACAGGGAAAGATCCTACAAACAGTATGGTGACCACCCATCTCTTTGACATGATGGAGAAACAGGCCAGAGCTTTGGATGCCTTGAGCCAGAAAATCTTGAACAATGATAGCTTGGAGAAGCCTCCTTCCAGCAACTCCTTGCTCTCAGATGGGGCCGGCCCAAGGGACTCCTGACTCCCAAAGCTTTGCCGGCAGTTCCAGCTGTTTTGCCTCTACCTGCACCTTCTGACTGTGCTGCACCTGCTGGAGGACATGATGGCACCCAGGCAAAAGCCTTGAGGACTATGAAGCTGAGGCCAAACACATGCTCACCAAGAGGAAGGGCAATGATTTGGATACTGCCATGAAGAGGCCAGCTTCTAAGAAAACCCTAGCCAAAGCAGAGCCCAAGCAAAAGGCCATCGTGAAGAAGAATGCTGAGGAAGCAAAGCATGTCACACTAGCTTTCCTCAAAGGAATCTATGGATGTGCCAGATGCCGTGGCAGTGTGAGTGGCTGTGACAAGTGCCAGTCTCCCTACTTTGGGGGGACTCAGTCTCAGTTCAAGACAGGCATACAACAAGTGGTAACAAGAAAGGCAGCAGGGGAACAAAAGGAAGTGTAAATATTTCCTTGGTCAGACAAAAGATCGTGGGCTGCCTTGTGGAAAATAACCATGCAAACACAGCAATGGTAAATCATACAGGCAGTGGGGGAAAACAGAAACGCTTAGGCTTTCTCTGGACATACTTATCTAGACATATTTTCCAGCATGAAAGTAAGTGGCCACTAACTTGCAGTGCTGCCCTTGGTTCTGCTT